ATATATAGCTTTTATTTTCTAACGCTTGTTTCATTTGTAAGCATTTTTTCTAATTACCTGAAGGATTCCCTTTAGAAAACATGAAAATATTAAAATATAAGGGTATAAATAATGTCACCATTATGAATACCAATATAAAACTTTGCATGTGGACTATAGTGTGTATTATATTCAAGATCAGACAAAAAAAAAAAAGTAAAAACATTTAATACATTTTTAATTTGTTCATCGCTGATGTTAATATAGTTCACATCCTCTGTGATTTGTGGTTTTCTCTTTAGGGGGCAGCTGGGGGTCTGATCGTGGGCATCGCACTCTCGTTCTGGGTCGGTGTGGGGGCTTTCATTTATCCAGCACCCAGCAATAACACACGTCCACTCGAACTCAACACTGCAGGCTGTAACTTCAACCTCACAGCTGATGGATCCAACCAGACATCAGTCACCGCGAGCGCTCTCACCGCTGACAGGTGATGACATTTACAGATTTGATTGATCTTGGAGGCCAGACTTTAGCATAATTTCAAAAGAGTGCTTATTATGAAAATAATAAAAGAATATACTTCAGTGCGCACTAAATGTACTGTTTTCGGACTTTAATCGGATGCTAACAGTAATTAAATGCAATTATATTATTGTTTAAATATATTTTAACTGCAATTAGTTGAATTTAAGAGTTTTTTTTTAACTTCCATAAGTAGGACTTCAGTACATCTTTGTATGTAGTTTCATAATTCTATCGTCTTTGAAAAATAGTTCAAATGTATTGCCGAATGACATGAATTTAAAATTATTTGTAATTGCACATTTGTAATGGTAATGATGAAGTTCATTACAAATTTAGCATGTTTTAAATATATTCAGATATAAGGCTAGTTAAAATTACTTTATAATCAATTGCTTTATATGTGACCCTGGAGCACAAAACCAGTCTTAAGTCGCTGGGGTATATTTGTAGCAATAGCCAAAAATACATTGTATGGGTCAAAATTATTGATTTTCTACTGTAAATATATTAAAACTTAATTTTAGATTAGTAATATGCATTGCTAAGAACTTCATTTGGACAACTTTAAAGGCGATTTTCTCAATATTTACGTTCTGGGTCGGTGTGGGGGCTTTCATTTATCCAGCACCCAGCAATAACACACGTCCACTCGAACTCAACACTGCAGGCTGTAACTTCAACCTCACAGCTGATGGATCCAACCAGACATCAGTCACCGCGAGCGCTCTCACCGCTGACAGGTGCAATGTGCTTCTACCATTCAGTCAGAGTACTTTAACCTGTTAACTGTCAGTTCCACTTTTTGAGCATAGACCTGAAAAAAACATTTCCAACTTAAACTGTTACAAATTTTGAATGCTTTGGACCACAGACTTACGGTTGGTCTCTTTTTTAAAGAAGACACTTGTCAGATTATTGTAGAAATGAAAAAAGTTATAAAGATTATATATATAACAAAAAAAGTTATGGAAGTTTAAGTTTATGAAAATATAAAATGCAATAATTTAAATATTTATATTTTATATAAAATATATATTTTACTAAACATGTTTTACTCTAAAACTGCTAGAAAATCAAAACAAGTTATGTTCCAAATTTGAGGTTGATATCTCCAAAAATGAGCTTTCAGTGAGATTTTGTTTGGGCGTAGTACTTTATTACCATATATGGTTTGAGTGATCTGAAACATGTTTTTCCATACTTGTCTCAATATTTATGAAGTAGACATCACATTCAGAAGTATTAAGGGCAGTATAGCAGTATTTGATTTCAATTCAACCTCAAAACACAAAAGACATACTACGAAACCCCTGGACTTGCGTTATAGTTCACGATGCATTAAAATGGAGAATCTATAGTTTTTTCTATATATTCAAAACACTCTTAGACCTTTTTTTTTCAAAAAATAGAATGGATGTTATCTTTTGAACACTATCCATGAAAATGAATAAATATTTTTACAGATTTTTCATGATTTCATATGTGCATCACTATTTCAAAGTAAATGTCACAACGCACGCTCTGACTCTGAGTACTCTTCTTGCATATTAATAAATTACAGTTGCTCTGTAAAATATTTCAAAAATCAGTCACCAAATATCAAAACTAGAGTCTTTAAGCTTTCAAACGATATATAGTTTGTCAAGATTACTTTAGGTTCAGACTAAGAGTATGGTTGTCAAAGTGTTTATAGTATAGAAATACAGTCATGAAAATGTACTCTATATACACTTAAGTGGACTTTTATTTCATTAATCTTATATTATCTGCAAATACAGTTTTTTTTTTGTAAATTGTACTAGTAAACTACAAGTGCACATTCAGTTAAATAAATATAAAATAAATAAATAATAAATCACAATGGGAGGTTGATAAATCAAATATAGCTCCAAATCAAGAAATCAAGAGCTAATATAATTAAAACACAAAAAACTCGCCATCAGTATGCCACTTATTCTGGTCTTTAGATATTGCTTGAATTGTTTGAAAATTGCCTAATTGCTCCTTTAATTAACAAATTTCGGATACCATTTATATCCATTGCACAAACGGTGTGTGATGTCCCTAATTTTCAAACTTAGGGCTACAGGTTTGTACAAAATATAAAGAATAGCAATAGTGATGCTTGACTTGGAGAGAACTACTAAATATGACTAACACTTCTGACTGTGTGCTGATGTTCAGGTGTGGTGTTCGGTGTGGCCTGCACTACTATGGCTGTGGCTGCATCATATATGGGAGGAATTGTGCAGGTATCATGTGATTCTCATATGGGCCGGGATGATCTGTTCCTGCTTAATTTCCTGTCACTGAGCGTCTTTCTCCTCTTGTGCCTCAGGCGGCCCTTAGTATCCACGGCATGTGCGGAGGCCCAATGCTGGGCCTGTTTTCTCTGGGAATCCTGTTTCCTGTCACTAACATAAAGGTTGATTTAAACTTTCATACCAGAGTCGTCATGAATAACGAATTGTTGGACTGAACAACGGAATGTTTGGGATGTTTAATTTTTGTATATTTTTACAATATTTATTGTTTAATAAAGACTCCTAATTTGACCTTTTAAATCTTATAGGTAATTACTGAAAAGGTTTTTGAATAATTTCTTCATTTGTATTTTATAATACATTTTATATTAAAGCAATGAGTAAAGCATATTAATTTACACAGAAAATATTTTGTAAAAATAAATAAAAAATAACTTCTAAGCTGTTGATCACACAAAAAAATGTTCTATATATATATA